TTATAATGAAAATTAGTATAGCAACACGTCAACTTCTGTTCAAGGTAAATATGCAAGAAAGAGAGCTGGGTATAGATTTTTATGGACAAATAATGGAAAGATATATATTAAGAAGAATGTTAATTCAAGAGGTATGCTTATCTCGGGTGAACATGATATACCCCGCATTGTTTAATACATCTAAATTGTGGTAGTGAAATAGCAATGTGAATTAATTTCTATTTTCATGACAGTCTTAGACTCATCTTCATTACATAAATTTCAATGTAATAGTTACTCTGTACAAGACTTCAATACACAATTTCCAAACTCTCCACCAGGTGCTTTGTCCATTTTACACATGAATATTCGATCATTAAACAAAAATATTGACCAACTAATATTATTATGTAAAACTGGAATGACCCAGGGTGCTGGACATCTCGACCCATTTTTCATTGGACAACTCGACCCAGGACCCCTAGACATCTCGACCCACCTATTTCAGACGACCCGCCGCCTTGACCTGATCCCAATAGCGTCGTACTTTTCCCAGTGCTTGTAGACCACAGTGTTTGTTTCACTGATTTATTATTTTTTGCTGTTCATTTCACAGCACGCGACCCCTGAAAGTGACGTCATTTTTGGATTGATCCATTGCGCTTAAGGTAGAAGCCTTCTCATAAATTAAAAAACCCAGAATTTATTCATTTTGCAATAAATTGTACTCCAAGGCATAAGGATATAGACCTAAAAAAAGTTGGGGGTCACCAGCCTTTTTTTCGAGAAATTGATGGTTGTATTTTAGTGGAAAGTCGCTATTTTGACACTATTATAACACTTTTACCACAGGTACCTATGGCAGAGATATTATGCAATATCTCAAAATCTAGCCTGGTGACATAGGCTGAAAAAATCATATATTGTTAATGATAGGGTACATTTTGTTGTTCTGAATTATTTAAAAAATCTGGGTTTTAAAAAGTGTCAAAAAATGCAATTTTTCTTTAACATGTGTTCTATGCAATTGTTCTAAAAATAGCAATTTTCAAGGAATATTAGGACACGTTTCTCAAAAAGCATAACTGTAACACACAAAATAATGCTATTTCATTGCACCATGGGACATTAGCTTCATGATTGTACATAATAAACTAATTAACATTGTCATGCGATTTATGACTAAATTTGTCAGAAATTATGACTAGGCTTCTACCTACAAACTTCTAAAACCCAGAATTCCTTAATAATCACTATAGATAATTTCATGTGCCTTATCTTTCTATGTGAATAAGAAAAACATAGGGTTACCAGACTATTTTCATAGCTTTGGGGAGGGGGAAACTATTGAACCTGGCCCTAAGGTAGATATGAATGTCAAATTACAGCATGTTCACTCAGTGTTTCCAATTGAACATAGGACTGAATTATTTTAGGCAAAATAGAATTTATTTTTCACAATTACCAGCCAACTTAGGGGAAAAAACGGGCATTTTGATAATGGGAGCAAGTCCCCCAGGCCATGCCTCATCCACCACCCCTTTTTGATGGCTTTTTTATTTCTACGTTTTCTACAGGTAAAAAAAACAAAGCATACATTGTATATGCAAAAGTTTAAATTTGAATTTACAATAGTGTTAGGGTCTAGTGGATTAATAAGGTATAAACCTTGCA